GTCTCAAAATATTTCTGTTTAATCACAGATTCTGCATTTCTGCCCAAAGGCAGTTAAAATGTGTTGGCAAAGATCCTGTTGAAACAAAACTTAAACAAAAAACCAAAACCACCAACTCCAATCTTTAAACAAACTATTTGTGGGTTTTCTTCCTTACGGCAGAGTTAGGCTTTAATTGATGATTTTCAGTTCCACTGAACTCCTTAAAGCTGACTTCGATGGTTGAAGATTCTTCACGCCATTGGGCTTTTCCTTATTTAAATGTTTAGATTAAATGTTTCAGGTTCTTTTGCTGCTGCTTAGCATAATGACTTCTTAACTAGTCTTTAAAAGGAAACGGGGGGTTGTTTTTTTTTCTTATTTTGCCATCATATTTTGGATCCTTTGAGAAATCTTTAATCAACCGCATTTTAATCTTAGAATGATTCTGATCAAAGCTATATGAATCTCAAAGATTAGCATAAGATGAAAAGGAATTCTAGCCACATATGAAGGTTCAAAACCTAAATATTTCAAAGGACTTTGCCATGCAGACAGATACTTTTGCAATAGTTACAATAGGTTCTGAAAGCATGAGGAAGCTAACTATTGGTGTTAACAAGACAATCGTAGAATCGTAGAATGGTTTGGGTTGGAAGAAACTTTAAGTCTCTTTAAGCCACAAGCAGGGGTCCAGGTGGCTCAAAGCATCCACAACTTCTCTGGGCAACCTGTGCCAGCTCCTCACCACCCTCATAACGAAGAATTTCTTCCTTATATCTAATCTAAATCTACCCTCTTTCAGTTTAAATCCATTACCCCTTGCCCTATCACTACATGCCCTTGTAGAAAGACCCTCTCCAGCTCTCTTGCAGGACCCCTTCAGGTACTGGAAGGCTGCTATAAGGTCTGCCTGGAGCCTTCTCTTCTCCAGGCTGAACAACCCCAACTCTCTCAGCCTGTCTTCATAGGAGAGGGGCTGCAGCCCTCCAGTCGTCTTAGCGGCCTTCCTTTGGACTTGCTCCAACAGGTGCATGTGCTTATGTTGGGAGCCCCAGAGCTGAACACAGTACTCCAGGTGGGGTCTCACGAGAGCAGAGTAGAAGGGCAGAATCACCTCCCTCGACCTGCCGGTCATGCTGCTTCTGATGCAGCTCAGGATACAGGTGGCTTTCTGGGCTACAAGCACACATTGCTGGGTCATGTTGAGCTTCTCATCAACTGACACCCCCCATAATAGAACAACTCTTGTCAGTGAACTTTGGTCCTGAACCAGGTCAATGGCCTTTCCAGAGTTACCAAATAGCGTACTTCTCTTTGGCAGGTAAGTAACTGTCAGACTAAATTGCACCTTTGGCCTAAGTAATTAAAAAAAACCCAACAAAACAAAACACAAAAAATGTGTTCCAGAAATGGCAAAACTGATGCACTGGTCTGCTGTGCAGTCTAGTCACTAGCATTCTTTTTTCTTAAATACTAGTTTATTTTTGAAAGTAGCTTGCAATTCAGATCTCATTTTTATGGTGTTAGTGTAGGTTTGTAGTCTATAATTTTGGAATGAGTGGACTCACTGGCTCTGGTCTTAGAAGACTCCTTAGTGGTATCACTGAAACCTTTACTTCTCCAACTGTGTAACTGGAGTTGACTTAGGGAGTCTTTCAGCCACAAGTTCCTGAACGAACAGTTGGCTCTGCTTGGGTGTGTACGCGCAAACACACTACAGTGGCTGTTGACGGGCAGTCACTTTGCAATCTAGACAACTGTAGAAATGAATGTAAATGGTAGTCAGTAGTGACTAAGTTTGTAAGATCTTTCAGAATGGATTCCATGTGTTATATTTGATATGCAGTACAGAAGGGACTCAGTACCATGACTAAACTGACACAGTTTTGATTATGAATGCATGTAGCATTCTGCAGACAAATCCAGTTCTCTGGAAAAGAGACTTGTTTGAAATTGTACCATTGTGTTATTCCATCAGGTAAAATGATTCTTATAAAGTTAGGTGCTATTCATCAATGAACTTTTGGTCCAAATTTCAGTTCTAAACCTGTATTTAGACTCTTCTGGTGAACATCCAAAGAGTCTAATGAATCCTGGTTTAGATATTAATTGAAGACTGTCCTGTAGGTGCAAGATACTCTGAAACTTATTGATATGAAGGTCCTGCCTTTTTTTAAGAATAGTATTCCTCTTAAGACAGATTTTTCATAGAATCATAGAATGTTTTGGGTTGGAAGGGTTCCCTAGAGGTCATCTAGTCCAACCCCTCTGCAGTGAGCAGGGACACCACTAACTAGATCAGGTTGCTCAGAGCCCCGTCCAACCTGGTCTTGAATGCTTCCAGGGATGGGGCCTCCACTACCTCTCTGGGCGATCTGTGCCAGTGTTTCACCACCCTCGTTGTAAAGAATTTCTTACTTATATCCAGTCTAAACCTACCCTTATTTAGTTTAAAGCCATTACCCCTTGTCCTGTCACAGCTGGCCCTTGTTTCTTGGGCCAAAAATGCTTAGTCAGGCTGGCCTACACTGGCCTGCATAGAGAAATGACAGAATCTCTCTTTTGGCATATTTTTTTAATGCGTATAACCTGAAGTTCATTATTTCAATTTCCAAACCAGTACACTCTTGTCCCATGTGAAGTGCTCTTTATGCTGTGAAGCATGTTACAGGATTAGAATGCTTTGAGGACAAGCCCTGAAGGCATTTTGTCTAACTGATTTAAGTGAAGCTGACTTTTATAATGGTGTTAGCATACACATTCGTAAACAAACATACACAGATGGTATTTGAAATCAAGGCTTCTTGGGCTTAAATGGTTACACGGCAGCTGCAGTGTTGTCAGGAGGTTCTTGACTATTTTATACAACCTGTGTGTATTGGTGTTTTGATGTGCTTGAAATGTGAGGAGAAACCATCCGACATTATCAGGTTGTGCTCAGAGGTATGTCCTCTGAACAACACGCTGGAGGAGACTTGCAGAAGTGAATGCATGTTCATGTGAATGAGATAATTTTTCATAGCTTCAGAAATACTCAAGTAAGACAGGTAGTCTTCAAATAAAACTACTACATTCTTTTTATGTTTTCTGAAATACAGAAAGGAAGGGGGCCGCAGCAAAGACTGACCTAACCTAATACCCCATCTCCAGTGATGGTCAGCAGTAGATGCTTAGGGAAGAGTGCAAAACAGAAATAGCCTGTTTTGATGTTTCCCCAAAATACTGTCCCTGTAGCCAAGAACTTGTGTCCAAGAAGCTTTCTTAGCAGCAGCATCTTGTGACAAATACTTCCACTGTATATAACACAAAAAATGTACATAATGTGAAAAATTAGCTCCTTTTTTTTGCTCTGAATCTGCCACCATCTGCTTTAATCTGATGCACCCTTTCTTTCTCCTCTAGTTGAATGCAGTGAAAAATAATTCCCTATTTGCTTTCTCTCTCTCTCATGGTTTGTAGATCTTCCACAGCTGCTCTGATTTCTCTCTGTTCTTCTCTGAAATTAACTTAACTCTTGTCTACCTGAAAGCTGTTCCATGCCTCTTGTCAACACTTCTGCTTTCAGTGAACCTTGTCCCATCCTACTGTAATGGAGATGAGGAGAGTGGTACTGCACATAACACTCAAAATGTTCAAATGTCACTTTTTTTTCTAGAATAATTGAACATCTAGAAGTACTGGTAACTTTGTTCTAGCAATTTTCCAGGAATTGCGGGGTTGGGAAACTAATGGGGTTTTTTTTGTGTTATGAGGAGACTACTGCAAAATAGAGGTGTCTGCCTAACAGGCAGCAGGGCGGCATCTCTGGCTTCACTATGGTTGCTCCTGAAAAGGAGGATAGGTGTGAGAGACGTTATATGTTTGGGGTATTGGTGAAGTCAAAGGAAAGCATTCAAATAAGGCCTATGTCTGCCAGTTGACTAAGCCTGTTCTAAAGACTGTTATCAGGTTAGCAACCTTTAGGAAAATAAATGCTTGTAAAGCAACATCCATCATGCAGTCTGCCTTTGAAACCAGTGAATTCTTTCAAACTCTGTAAAGTTATTCTTGGTTGTGCTGCTTCCCTTTGGCTGAAAATATCCTTCCCTCCTCTGCCTGTCCAGCTTCCTCCTCAGTTTCCTTTTCCTCGTCTCCCATATGCTTTTTTTTGTCAGATCGATCCTGAATTGCAGACAGGGGCCCTAACGCTTCCTCTCTCTTTTCAGGAAATTTTCACTACCTTTGTCCTAAGGTAGACATCAAACAGAATTTGCCTGGTTGCATGGACACTGAAAAGCCCTATGAGATATGTTAGGCAAAGGTATTTTTCTACTTTCTCAGCTTGTTACAATGAGGGGTGCGGGCAGGGGAGCTCTTTGACTAAACAATAGGAACAAAAGTGGAACTTTAAAAACTCAAGAAACAACCCCCTGCTTGCCAGACAGGAAAAAGCAACAATATGGGTGAACAAAAAAAAAAAAAAAGGAAAAGCAAAGCAATGCTGTATAGTGTGGCAGCGTTACATGATGCAGCATTCCTTCTCCCATCAGCAGGAGCATCGCGCGCAGAGTGTAGATGCCACTGCCGTCCTTAGGCCCGCAGTCGGTATTTGGGACATGACCGCTGTGCCATTTGGGACTGCTGTTAGCTGCCAGGAAGTCCCGCGCTTCTCTCAGGTACTCGGAGCTGTCTGAGAAGCCCAGCAGTAATTGCAGTGCAATTACCCTGTGAGGAGCAAACGGGGAACGCGGGCTTAAACGCCCCGTTTGTAACGGGTGTTGTTGACGCTGCGTGGCAGAGCCCCAGCAGAGGGGCAGCGATGCCAGCTCGGCCGGCGGCGGGAGC